CGCAGAAGCCGAACTCTTCACTCACTGGACATGGCGGAAAGTCCCTCTAATTACACGTGTATCCACGTTCCCCCCCTCGTCTTCCTTCTTTGTCCTTCGCGAGTCACACGGCAAGCATCAGTGGGGGTCTGGCGGGGCTCACGGGCGAAAGCGCATTGCGACTGGGAGAGGCCTTGCGTTTGGTAGTTGAAATTGGCAACCTGAATCGTGCGGACCTGCCAGAAGTCTGAGGCCAGAACCAATACCTCGCAATGCCTGGAATGCTCTGGTTGTTTCGCGGGATGCTACTTAAGTTTTGCGAGCGTGGACCCCGAACCATGGGTTCGTGCATTTTTAGTGTGCAGCCTTTGCGGTACAATCTGCTTGGTGCAATCTATGTGACGCACGTGTCTGCGAACATGTTAAAGCCGCAAACCCCAATGATCGAACTGACCTCCCCCCTACCCACCTGCACCTTGATTATACATTCAACAAACGCTATAATGCGAAGATTTGTCTCGTACAGATTCATGGTCCGGGCTGGCGAGTGATGATGGTGACGATGACACCGACGACGACGGCGCCGCTAATGATGATGATGCTGATGATGATGCTGATGATGATGCTGATTATGATGCTGATGATGCTCATGATGCCGATGATGATGGTAAACGTGGCGGCGGTGGTGAGGATGACCACGACACCCGTGATCAATTGATGTTGTAATGGTTTCGGCATGCGCGCGCGGCGACGGGCGCGTGGGGCAAGCAGTGTATCATTTAACAGGCGTGGCGGTCGCGCGATTATTGCTGAATGCTTTCGGCTTGCGCGCACGTGTGGACCGCATTGTCTCATTTGACAGGATGGACTACATAGTATCAACACGAGACGGGTTCTCACAGCACGCACACGTTCGAACAATATGTCTGCCACGCATATACACGCATGTATAGTTGACAAGGGTGACACTGGGGAGTCGATACTTGCCGCCAGCGCGTTGTTATATTCAAACAGAACGGTCAAACATAATCGACATGACCATCGATAAGAGAACCAGTGCCAACTACCCTGGCCTCCGGGGGCGTGGAGTTTACCCCCCCCTGGAAAATAATATTGGCCCCTGGGCTTCAGTGCGAGATCACCTCCTGTGCGGGAACATACATCTTACCCACCCACCCGCCATTTCTTGGCAAGGCTTCAGAGGACGTGAATGCAATTGCTGATCGGAGCTGGTTATCACATCTTAGCAGGCGCGATAACGCGCGGACCCTTCCGGTGCAGACCCATGGCATTGGCGGCCGAGGGATGATGACAATGGGGACAGCAGAAACCAATATGACGATGACGATAACAATGACGACGACGATGATGACGATGATGACAGTGATGATAATAATGCAGATGATGCTGATGCTGATGATGCTGATGGTGATGATGATGGTGAGGATGATGATGGTGATGCTGATGCTGATGACGGTGTTGGTGATGGTAGTGGCGAGTCTTGTGAGGGTAACGTCAACGACGCTGACGATGACGACGTTGACGAGGCGCCGATTTTGACGATTGCCGCAAGCCCAGAACTCCTGCAACAAGGAACTCCCAGTGCTCGAAGCGCCGCCGTCAGATTACCTGTGGGGGGCTGCATGGGGGGGCCTCAGAGGGCGTCCTGTGTTTTCTTCGGGCCCCTTAGCGGCTCGCGCCGGCTGCGGGTGGGCGCGGGTGTGGCTGGTCTGCGCCGCCTCCGCCGCCCCCTGTTCTGTTCCCACTGCCATTGAGGTTTAAGACCGCTGTGGACACATGCACTCTGAGTGAAACACGCACGCGTACACTGGTCAAGCACCTCTGCCTCCTCCTCTCTCTCGGCCTCCTCTTCCTCCTCGGGGCTGAGCCTCCGCCTCCTCCTCTTCCTCCTAGGGTCTAGTGCTGGCTGCTCCGCCAGGAGGGCCCCTCCGTCTTCTGGGGGTTTCTGCGGCCTGCCTTCTGGCTTCTTAGTCTTCCTCCTCCTCCTCCTCCTCCTCCTCCTCCTCCTCCTCCTCCTCCTTATGGGGTCGTCCCCCGCCATGGCCGCTTCGTCCTGCGGCTGCGTTCTGCGCCTTTTGCGCGGCGTCGTGGTCGTCTGGGTCTCGGCCCGCTTCTCCTGCCCCCCGCCTCCTGACTGCCTCTGGCCTGCTTTCTCCTGCTGGCTCCTCGGCTCGTCGCCTCGCCTTCGGCGCTCCTTAGGACACGCTGCGGCGCCCCCCGCCGTCGCAGGGGGCACGGACATCGGCCCCTCGCGCTTCGTCGAGGCGCGCGCGGCCGTTTGGCGGGCGCACCCGCGCTGTCCTCCCCGGCCTGCTCGCGGGGCCGTGGCCCCGGCTGGCCCTTGCAGCCTGGCCTCGTCGTGCCTGCCCCCGCTGCGCCTGGGGCCGCCCTGGGCGCCGCCCGCCGTGCTGCCTCCGGGCTCGTCCTCGCCTGGATCTGCGCCCTCTGCGCGGCCGCCGCTGCCGGGCTCCGAGCGGGGGCTGCTGCGCCTCCTCCTGTCTGCTCCGTCGCACGGCACGGCCGCAGCGGGCCTGCCGCACTGCCCACACCACGGTGACCAGCCAGCTGGCGATGGCTTGGTTGTGTGCCGCTGGCTGCGCTGGGCCGGGCCAGCTGCCGCGAGCCTGCGTGACCGTCTCGGGCCTCGCAATCCCGGCAGACGTGGTCCCAGTGGCCAGGATGCGCGTGGCACCAGCAGCATAGTCCCTTGTCCCGCATAAATCGCCCTGCGTGCACGCCGGGAAGAGAACACCTCCGACCGCGAGGCATCGGACGGCTCCATCCTCGGCCGACTTCAGGAGCGCCCGGGCCATGGCGGCCTGCTTCGTGGCCGGGTGGGCCGTCGGGGCCAGCCGTGCGGTCGTCCGGCCCTGGGCCTTGAACCGGCCTCATGCCTGTAGCCGCCGCGCTTCGCGCATGCGGTGCGTGATGATGCGCCTCTGGGTGGCCGTGGCCGCCCTGCTCCTGCGGAGCCTCCTCTCTTCCTCGGCGAGAGCCGTCCTGGCTGCCTCCTGCGCCTCCTCTTCGTCCTCCCCGTCGGCGTGTTGCCCCATCACTGCCTCCTCCTTCTCCCCCTCTTCCTCCTCCTCGCTGGGATCCTTCACGGTCCTCGCTGGCGGGGTCCTCGCTGCCTGGGGGCTCCGTGCCGTCGTGCGCGCTCTCGGTGTCGTCCGCGCGCTCTTCCTGCGCCTGGTCCTCGCCTGCCCGTGCCGGGGCCTCAACGCCGAGATCCAGAGCTCTGGCGGCGCGTGCCGCCACGCACCCTGCGGACTCCCTGGCGCAGCCCACAGCTCCCCGAGAGCGCAACGTGGGCCCGCGCGCGGCAGCGGGCTCGTGGCCGGCAGCGGGGCCCGCCGCCAGCGCCTGAACGCCAGGGTTGCGTGGCGTTGCCCGATCACGTCCTGGAGTTAGGTCGGGCGTGTCCCCCTACAGGCGAATTTGGGACCAGAGATAAACAAACACCCAAAACAAATTGAAACATAGTGAACAATTGGTCAAACAACCGTCCCCAGACTATTTTTTTAACTGTTTTTGAACTTTCCGCCTGCAGAGGGACAGGCCCGACTCACTCCTGGAGTTCCGTCGTACCTCCTTCCAGGATGTGCGTCAGCTCTGTGCTGGCTGCCCGCGAAGTCCTCGTGACCCTCCTGACGGCTCGGTTCGCCGCCGCCGCGCGGTGCCGAGCCGGGCGCTTTCCGCCCCACCCATACTCCGCCTTGGATACCTCCAGGGCTCGCGCGCATCCTAGTTTAGCCCGTCTGCCTCCTGGGGCGACCCTGATCAGCTGCGCTGTGTGCTCCGCTGCCTTCAGCCGTCTCTCCTCTCTGTCGCCCAGACACTTCGAGAAGCCCACGCCGAGGATCTCGATCTCTCCGACGATTTTGCGCTCGAGGCCCGCGTCCTTAGCCGCCTCCTCCAGCCGCTCGCGGTTCGCCGGCCCGAAGGCCACGAGCTGCGTTTTCTCCTCGTTCTCCTTCAGGCCGACGCGGCTGGACCACCAGTGCCAAGCCGCGACGGCTCTAACCAGGCGCCTGGGGCACTCATCGGCTCAAGACCAAGACCTGTCGTCCATGTAGTTCTTGGCTATGCGCTCTGCTCGCCTCTTCCTCCTCTTGCCGCGTCCGCCCGGTGCCGCCGTCGGAAACTCCTCGTCCAGCTGGCTGACCCAGAGATTATCCAGATACCGAGGGCAAAGGGTTGATGGGGTCCCCCTGTGGGAGACAATTCGCATCGAGGGCCTCCCGGTGGTGTGTTGGTCCCACGGCAGGAAGCGTTCCTGGTGCTGCTGGACCTCTCCGAGCACGGCGCAGAGCCCGCCCGAGAAGCCCAGTCCCCGCACGGCCTCGACAGTGACCTCAGCGTTCACTGCGTTCACGCGGTCAAAGCATTGCGAATAGTCCACCGTGGCTCCCAAGCCACGCGCGAGCATCTCCTGGTGTAGATCGGCCGCCGCCTCCTCTGCTCCTGTGGCGCACTTGCCCCCGATAATGGTCCCCTCTCGTGGGAACGCCTGCTGTGTCCAGCTCCTCCACCCTGGGGTCGCCATCCAAGCCGCCGTGTACACCCGCCACAGCACGCTGAAGATGCTGATGACGACGGTGGTGCCGGTGACGATGACGATGGAGATGATATTGGTGATGGTGACGGGGGCAATGATGTTGCTGGCGCTTACACGCTTGCTCGATACACGCGTGCACACCGCATTGCAGCACGTGTCAATGATGACGAGTAGGGCCGATAATGTCTGACATGTGGTATACTTGATATTCAAACGAAACGATCGTGCAACACAGATGAACAACTATCACGTAACGGGGAACGGACAATATCGCCAGAAAAGGTGTCGCCACGTACCCTTCGTAAGAAGTGATATATGGGGCGCAGTACAGACCAACCTACGGGGTGTCAACCACCTTGACTGTCATCCGCGCGCGACCACCTGCCATGCTCGAGCAACCAGGACACCCTCCCATCCGCAACCAGCCATACTCAGCAGGTGTGCGGGCGCGAATGCCTCTCTCATGCGGGTCCATGGTTCGGGCGGGCGAGTGAAGATGCCGGCGACAACGGCTTTGGATGTCCCCCCTAGCGTTCCGTTAGAAATGGTTTTGACCATTATTGAAAAGACTGTGGGGAAAAAACGCACTGTGGGAAAAAAAGCCACATGTGTGGAACAAAAACATACAAAAACACACAGTGAAAAACATACAAAAAACACAACAAACACAAAACACACAACACAAAACACACACACACATGGGTTTTGTTTTTTTTTTCCCCCAAGGGTCCCACATGGGGGGCGGGGAGCCCTAGACCGCCCGATCTCTGGCAGCCGTTTCGCCGGAGACTCCCTCACCAGTTCTCCAGGCATCGATGCACATGGGCCGTGTGCTCTCCTTGTTCCTCCTGCTCTCTTCGTGCTGCCAGAAACTCACTCCCGCGTACAATCTGGCCATCGCTCGGACGTCCATTCCCTGTGTTTTTTTCGGTTTAGTGCGTGGTTCTTTCGCCAAATGATCAAGGATGCTCCTCGCTGGTCTTCGCCGAAGGAAAAATGCACACGTCCGAGCGATGCCTAGACAATTCTCACTCGGGAGAAAAACACCTACCGCACTTCCGGCGCTGCGTGCTGCCAGAACTCCACTCCCGCGCTCCCTTCTGACGCAAGAGTGAGCACCCTGCCGCACATCGTGCGTCTGCGAAGAATCCAAAGGAATACCCAATTTTGCACGGGTGCACTAACTAGCCGACCTCCTACTTCGGTGGCACCTCATGGGGGCCTCCAAAACCATCTTGTCGGCTTTTGCGAGTCGACGCACATCGGCGCTAAATCGGCGCTGATCGACGCCAAATTGACGCGAACCGACGCTAAATCGGCGCTGCCTCGTCGACTCCCTAACGCTAATCCACTCTCGCCGACGCTGCAAGACGGAACGAAGAGGCTAATTGCGCCAGGCTCCCGTGACTTGCTGCCGGCACCCTGCCCCCCCCCCACCTCTGCCGAGGGTAGCTTTTGCTGGCTGCGGCAGTTCTGCGGCGGCGCCGCCCGCTGTGGCCCCTCCGCGGGCCGCCCTCCGCGGCACGCCGCCCGCCCGTGCTCGGCCGCGGCGGAGCAGGCCTGCCGCGCCCACGGCTCTTCCGCGGGCGCGGCAGGCGACGGCGCCGCCAGGGGGGCAACGCGGAGGCGCCTCTACGGCACGCTCGCGCCGTGACGACCCGGGGCGCTGGGCTCTGATTCTCGAGCAGGGGCCGACCGTCCGGGCATTCGCGTAGGCCCACCACGACATGTTCTCAGCACCCAGACATGTCCTGAGAACGAAAACCTGGTTTTATGACCTAAGCCCGACGTGTTCAATCAAGACGGTCTCATCCAGAAATGCTCTAGAGACCTTTCGTCGACACCACAGGAAGTTCGTGGAACTTTGTCTGGTAGGACTAACAATAGGCTCGCCAGGACGCTTCGCCACTGCTTGCCTGATGCCACGTGGACCGTGCAACCTCGAACGATCGGCGGCTGCTCGATCGCCAGATCTCTTCACACGGGCCGCTTCTGGGCCACACCGGCGGCGTTCGACCTCGAACGCCCGAGCCGGGGTCGCCACCGCGCCGACGCGACGCGAACCTGCCGTAGGCGGAGGGGGAGGAGGAGGAGGAGGAGGAGGAGGAGGAGGAGGAGGAGGAGGAGGAGGAGGAGGAGGAGGAGGAGGAGGAGGAGGAGGAGGAGGAGGAGGAGGAGGAGGAAGAAGGAGGAGGAAGGAGGAGGAAGGAGGAGGAGGAGGAGGGAGGCGGAAGGAGGAGGGAGGAGGCGGAAGGAGGACGAGGAGGACGAGGAGGACGAAGAGGCCGAAGAGGACGAGGAGGAGGAGGAGGAGGAGGAGGAGGAGGACGAGATGGAGGAGGAGGAGGAGGAGGAGGAAGAGGAAGAGGATCAGGAGGAGGAGGAGGCGTCTGAGGCGGGAACGGGTCGCGCCGCAGCGCGGAGCGGCCCGGCGTGGAGGCGCAAAGCCTGTCCATGCCTGGGGCCTCTGCTCCCGAGAAGCCTGGCGCACGCTCGCTTTGGAGCTCGCCGGGGCTGCCGCTTATGAGAGAGCACTCCAAGACGCCCAAGATGGCCTCAAAGACGGCCCTGGAGCACCCCAAGAGGGCCCCAAGTCGGCCCAGAGAGGCCCCCCAAACGGCTTCCGACGGCGTCAGACGGGCCAGGAGCCCACCAAGATGGCCGAAGTTGGCTCGAAGCTGGCCCAAGACGGCACACGAGGCCTCCAAGAGGGCCTGCCGAAGGAGAGGGCAAGACGTAGGTCGGGCATGTCACCCTACAGGCGGATGTTAGGCGAACTTGTCTTTAAAACAAAAAAAAAAAACATGCCCAACACACATACTCAAGCATAGTCAATCTATAAATCAATGGAACTCGTCCCCGGACTATTTTTGGACATTCCTCCTGTAGGGGGACAGGCCCCGACGCGGTCGAGAACTTCGGCTCAGCGTGTCTCGGTGGAGGCCCCGGCGACACGGTGAGGCTGGACAGCGCGTCGCTCCGAAGGGCTGAAGGCCAGGAAACACCCGAGACGTTGACGCTCGGACGCGGGGGCGTGGCCAGCGTGTGGCGCCGCCGCGCAGCGTGGCGGGCCACACCCGGCGGCGTGACACGTCACGCACAAGTTCCTGACCGTAAGTCGGAGGGTTGATAGACCTCCTACCCTGACGCGTCGATTAGCGGATTGGCCGTGTTCGGTTCGCGAGAGGGCGTCGCGGCCGTCATGATTACGGGTTCAGGTCCAGCGGTTTCGGTCGTAGGCCGTTAGCACTCAAGGGTGGTTTACTAAAGGGAAATTTGTCCAGAAATTTGTCCACCGCCGAATAGTGGGGAGAACTGCGATGACAAAATGTTGCAACCCTAGAAGCACTGACGCCGTACAGTGCTGGGCATCGCTGCTGAAACCACCTGAATGCCGTCGACCTCACGCGGTCTGCCGCTGCAGCCAAAGGGCCGCCAAGCATTCCTGCTTTGCCTCCTCCCCCGCGTCCGCCTGCATGTTGAGGGCTTCCAAGCAGGCTTGCTTCGCCGCCTCGTCCGGGTCAGGCGCCGACGCCGCGGTCAGAGCGGCCAAGAGCTTGGCCTTGGCCTCCGCGTCCAGCCCGCCCAGCGCCGCCTTCAGCTCGGACTCGTCGGACGCCTGCACGGCTGCCTCGATGCCGGCGGCCCCCGCTGATTGCTGCTTGTTGGCACTGGCGCCGCCGCCCATGGCTTCAGGCCCCAGCCAATGTGAGCCAGGCCTGCAAGGAATCCCCTTTGAGTGAGGAAGCTCTCCTCGAGCAGTAAACAGGCTTGGGCCAAAACGGCTGCGGATATGACGGCTGTGGTGATGATGACAGTGGTGGTGGCGGTGTCCATGATGACGAGGGAGACGACAACGACGATGACGAGTATGATTATGACGGTGGTGATGATGAATCTGATGCCGGCGATGATGATGTTGACGATGGCGTTGATGAGGGTGAAGACAAGCTGCGCCTGCGCTGGACCCCTGCAAGGCTTTTCTTTGAACAGCAATTGGGTTCCGATGTTTTTGAGCAGATGTCTTGCCACATGCTTCAATTAACGAGTGGCTCTGTAATGATTTCGGCGTGCGTGCGCGGGCGCGCGCGCGCGGCCCACATTGTATTATTTGATAGCGTTGGCGGGTGCGCCATTGTTTTCTGAGTACTGAGCAAATGCCGCAAACCTGGTCCTAGAGGCGTCCGACTTTGCCACAGACTGTTCAAAAGCAACCAAATAAGGCTCCAGGCAGCGCTGATATTGCCCGAGAGCCCGACGACGGCCCTGAACATGCTACACGGGGCCTCCACTACGGCTTCAAAAAACGAAAAAATGGTGAACACCCCACCAGCGTGCCCAACGCGCCAAATTGTCCTGAACAAACTACGTGTACTTTTAGTTTCCGTCCACCTTTTGTCTCCGTGCTCTCTTGCTCAATAGCTATTGTTCCAAAGAAGTCATGGATAATCGAAGTACTAGCTAAAAGGGCACCATGAGGGTCCCGAGCCAGCCATAAGATGTCCCAAGACGGCCCGAAGGAGCCCCTGGAGGGATGCAGGACGACCTAATGCAGCCCCAAGACGGCCTCAAAGGCAACCAAGACGCCCAGCAAGCCCCCATGGCAGCCCAAACGAGCCACAACGGGACCGAAGAGGGGCCCAAGAGTTCTTCAGGACTTCCCACAAGGAGACCCAAGAGGAGGCCGTGCAGAACGCCAGAAGGGGCCCCCAAGCCAGCCAACCAAGATGTCGGCCGCAAAGGTCGGCGGTGTCTCGCCGCAAGCGCCGTGGATCAAACGCAATCGTGGGGCGACTGTCGATACTATTGTGATGGGATTGCTCGCCGTTTCCTGCTTGTGGTGTAGGGCACTTTCACCAATAGCGCAGCGCAGAAAAGGGCGCAAACTAACACACATCGCTGTTACTGGGTCATGCGCTTCCCGACAAGCCGTGTCCGACATGTGCGGCGTGGTGGCCAAACGAGCTGCACAATGATCCGATCGAAGTGTAGACCGGCTGCTTACATTACTGAATTCCAGATGTCTAGTTCTTCCGCGCACGCGCTGAATGCACTGTTCTGCTGCGAGTCAACGTATTACGAACCTCCTGGAGCAACGACAGCGCCTGCTGCCGCTGTCCACCTTTCTCGCACGCGCTGACAGCAGCAGTGCAACACACGACGTCCAGTTCCATCTTCGCCTCTAACGTGTCGCTGAGCACTGACAGCGCCTGCTGCCACTGCCCGCCTTTCTCGCACGCGCTGATCCCAGCACTGTAGCCGACCAGTGTGGGCCCATGGTTTACCATGCTGGCGTGCATTCCAGAATCCAGTGCTTCAGGTCTGTGGAAGCCTGCGAAGACGAGGATGGTGAACAACGATCGTACACGTCTAAAGACAACTTGGTCAGGAAGCGCCCACATGAGGAATATGCATGAGCCCGCACGTGTGCAGGAGCTTTCAGGAGCAAGCCCATGTTGATGTTCGAGCGCAGGCGATAGCAGAAGTTCGAAACCATGCGCAGGGCTAACAGACATGTGGCTTCAAGGGGCAACAATGTCCCAACATCAATCGACAACTCGGACCGCCAATGTAAAAAGCCGACGCTGCCGTGCCCATGCAAAACAACATGCCTTGCTGTGACGACACTTTCTGTAATGGCCATGTTGTGTTTTACATTAGCGCCAGCGCCTCTTTACATGCACTACCTTGAATTTACATTGGCGCCAGACCCTCCGTACTTCGGCGCCAAGACACCCGGGCTGACTTAACCGACGCCTCTGCTTATGCTGGGGCATCGTTTCAATAATCCCGATGCCTCAAGCACTCACAGGAGCTGCATGTCACCACTGTTCCTGCGGCAAGGGTACGACGGGTGCCCACCGGCAGCGGTGCCAGCGTCAAGCTTCCCCCCCGGCGTCAGATTAGTGAGGGGATCGTGAAGGTCGCTTCGCTGGACCTCCCAGGGACTCACGAAGGTGGCGACGGTGGATCGCCCAGGGAGGGCGAGGGCTAGTTTGGGTCCCTGCGGGTCGTCACTCCGTTGACCATCCCAAGGGTTCACGACTGGGCAGTTGGCAGCAGGAGTGAGGTGAGATACGGATAAGAAGCACGAGGCAGGATGAGAGAGGAGGCGGGAGGAAAGGAGGAATAAGGAACACCGCTCTCTGCAAAACGGGGACGCAACACAATAGGGTTGGGAACATGTGGGGGACACGGATATCATGGTAGTACCAAACAATTTGCCACACGATGCGATCGTGGACTGTGCGGGCCGAACGGGAGAGGCCCTGAGCGCTTGGGACAAAGTAACCCGCAGCTCCTCGGACACATTGTAATGGCTCTTGTATGCGGCCGCATCAAAATTCACCCTCCCACGCCAAAGATGTCCAAATGAGTGCGGTAAACTGGTCTTGTGATGCCCAAGGAGGGCATTGGGGTTAGTGGAAAGTGGTTGGTCGGCGTTCGACGGTTCGGAAGGGGTGCCAGGGAGAGTCAGGCGGGCCGTTGAGGGCCTTCGGGGCTGAATGAAGGTGAACGCAATTCTTGTGAAGACTTGTAATGTTTGCGGTGATTATTGTCCTAGGATGTCACTGGGGGACACGGTGATCGGCTCTTGTGGGCCTCCTGAGTGGCTTGGGGCAGTCTGTAGGGGGATCTTAAGCATGCCTCGGAACGTCGCGCCGCCGTCCACGTTTGAATAGCATTTGACGTATACATATATATATATATAAACACTTAGAGGGCGCAGGCTCTTATGCTACTTGCACCACAAATATGGCTGGTGTTATCGACATACAGCAAACGATGACTAACCGCACTGTGCCGTAACTATTTCTATGTATCGCAAGCACTTGCCCACGAACCTATAGGTAGGGCACTTATAAGTATATCACTGGTTGTTACCTGGGGGAATGAGATAGTTGTTCACCGTCACTCAGTTACAGACCCGTTCTGAAATGCAGTACATACACAACACATACAATTATGTTGTAGGTGGCTTAGCTCCCCCTTCCATCCCTCCTTCGATCCCCTTCCCCTTCCCACCCGCCCGCCCGCCGCGCGCAGCCCGCGGGCGCGCCCGCAGCCGATGGCGATCGTTCAGGGGAGGGGGGGGGGGCAACGCAGCGATGGCGATCGGTTGGGGAGGAGGAGTAAGGATAGGGGAGGAAGCGATGGCCATCGCTTGGGTGAGAAGGGGGGTGGGGGGGGGGGGGGAAGGTAACGATAGCGACCGCCGCTTGGAGAGGAGGAGGAGAAGAGGAGGAGGGAGGAGGAGGAGGAGGAGAGGAGGCAGAGGATGAGGAGGAAGAGGAGGAGGAGCAGGAGGAGGAGGAGGCGTGGCAGAGGAGGAGAGGAGGAGGAGGAGGAGAGGAGGAAAATGGAGGGAGGAGGAGGAAAGGAGGAACAGGAGGAGGGAGAGGAGGAGGAAGACGACGAAAGGAGGAGGAGGAGGAGAGGAGGAGGAGGAGGAGGGGGAGGAGGGGAGGATGGGGGAGGCAGCGATGGCGATCGCTTGGAGAGGAGGAGGAAGATGGGGGAGGTAGCGATGGCGATCGCTTGGGGAGGAGGAGGAGGGGAGGAGGAGGGGAAGGGGAGGAGGACGGGGACGGGACGGGGACGGGGACGTAGCGATGGGCGACCATTCGGGGGAGGAGAAGGAGGAAGAGTAGGAGGTTTGATGGGGGGAAGCGACGATGGCGATCGCCCAGGCAAGGTGGACGTGGATGGGGGAGGTAGCAATGGCGATCGCTTTGTGGGGGGGGGGGGAGGAGGAGGAGGGAGGAGGAGGAGGAGGAGGAGGAGAGAGGAGGAGGAAGGAGAGGGAAAGGGGGAGGAGGAGGAGAGGAGGGGGGAGGGGAGGAGGAGGAGGAGAGAGGATGGGGAGGAAGAAGGAGAAGCAGGAGGAGGAGGAAGAGGAATGGCAGAGGAGGAGGAGGAGAAGGAGGAGGGGGAGGACGCGAAGGGGGCGGCGGAGGGGGAGGAGGAGGAGGAGGAGGAGGAGGGGGGGGAGGAGGAGGAGGAGGGCAAAAGGGGGAGGAGGAGGAGGAGGAGGAGGAGGGGGAGGAGGAGGGGGGGCCCAGCGTGCCAAGCCGTCTTCTTCCACTGCTCACAAGCCCTGCAGCTTGGAGCACCTCTCCTGATCCGCCGCGCGGATGGAGGAGGACGAAACAAGAGGAGCGGCGGCAGCCGACAGCAGCGGCGGCGACGCAGCTAGCGAGGGCCCACCTGGCATGTCGCACTCGCTGGGCGCGTCGGGGCAGACGCGGCCAGGCGGCCGCAGATTAGTTTCAATCCGAGAGCATCCTTCAATTCGAGGATGAGGGGGGGCAGCGGCAGGAGGAGGCGAGAGCTGGGAAGGCGAGGTATCGGGCGAGACAGGCGCCAGGACGGAAGACCAGCGCACGGGCGAAGAGGGGCGCTCACCACCGTCCGTGGCGCGGCCAGGGATGTCAGGCTCGGGAGAGCGAGCCAGGAGGCGATGCGACAACGGAGCGGGCGACGGGGTGAGGGCAGGAAACAGCGAGGGCACAGAAGCGGAGGGGGGGGGGGGGGGGCAGGCGGGGGGCAGGCAACAGCAGGGGCAGAGCTCAACGGAGTGAAGGACTGGGTGAGGGAGGGGAAAGTATGATCGGCAGCTGGGACAAGCACAGGGCTGATGGGAGAGGCCGAGCTGAGAAGATGATGCGATGGCTCGGTGGGAGGAGCGGGCGGGGGGCAGGCAGTAGCAGGAGCAGCGGTCATCGGAGCGAAGGGCGGGGGGGGGGGGGAACATGTGACAGCGACAGGGCTTTTGCAGCGGGGGGGGAACATGTGACAGCATCGGAGGCGCGACCGCCGCAGGATTTCGACCGGCACGTGGCGACGGCGAGCCCGAACACGACAACGGGACTTGCGATCTCACGCCATCGGGCAGCAGTCCTGATTCACGGCAAAACGCATGTGGCAACGGCGAGCCCGAACACGACAACGGGACTTGCGTTCTAACACCACCAGCGAGGCGTGCGCTTCCGATGCATCCCATACGTGGCGACGTGCTGCCCGAACACGACAACGGGACTTGCGCTCTAACGCCATGGCCCGAGTGGGGCAGGTCGAGGCATCCGACAACAGGCGACGGTGAGCCCGAACGCGACAACGGGACTTGCGATCTAACGCCAAGAGGAGGCGACGAGGGCGCGGAACATCCTGTCGACAACGTCACTGGAGAGGACGGCGTCACCCATGCAACGCGCGAAATAGGAGACGGCAACGTCACTGGCGAGGAAGGCGCCAACGTCACTGGCGAGGGCGGCGTCACACATGCATCGCGCGAAATAAGAGACGACAACGTCACTGGCGAGGACGGCGTCACACATGCACCGCTCGAAATGGGAGACGACGACGCAACCGACGATCTTGAAGCCGCCCTTCGTGGAGCACACGCGGACAAGAAGAGAGAGGAAGCCGCCGTCTGAGATGAAGGGGGGCGCGTCAGAGGCGTGGCCGAGGCCGTAGGCGTGCGTGGGGTAGCCGGACTCGGAGGACAGGATGGAGCGGATCCGAGCGCGAGAGTACGAGCACGGCGAGAGGGGGTGGACGGCGCTCTGGACGTCGGGCGGGGCGGGCGAGTCGCAAATGATGCGTCCTCCGCGGGGGGGCTCGATGGGGGAAGGCGCTCGATAAGAAAGTCGTCGGCCCTAGGCGAACGGATCGGCGAGCGCGATGAGGAAGAGCATGTGCTGCTGGATTCCGACGCGGATGAGGCTCGTGCCGTGCTCGCTGCGCCGCTGTCAGAGTCGGGGGCGGCGGATGACGCAGATGAGGTCGAGGGGGCCAGCGCCGTGGGCGCGGGCGAGAGCGTGGCGATCGGCAGGGGCCGAGTGCGCGGAGATGAGGGCGGGGTCGAACTCGAGCTTAACACCGCAGGGGTAAGTCTCGGAGATGAAGGCGCCGATCCACTAGAGTCGGACGAGCTCGACGATGGAGAATGGATGTGGTAGTCTCTGCGGGCGAGCTGCCTCCTTTCGGTCGCCGACGTAGCCTGAGGTGTGGCCAGCATCATCGCTCTCGCACCTGCAACCGCACAACTCCGCATGGCTGCATGGGAAAGTGGTCAAGAGTCACTCAGACGGGCCCCATTGTACGCGTTGTAGGCAGCCGCGAGCACCGAGTAGGATTGGCACGAGGGGCGGCGCAGAACCCATCTGGGCGGGAAGTCGAAGGCGAAGGGGCGGGCCAGCGCGCGTCGAAGAGCCGACCAGAGGACAGGGCAACGGGCGTAGTGCATGAGC